GTGTTTGTTAAGTTAGGAAGTTGGGATTTTCTATGGGTTTTATTTTTAGCCAATCAATCCTACCTATTAAATTTCATAAGGATCGGCCGACTATATCCTATAGCTGCCATATAACTGAACGATTGGAAATGCCATAACTTTGGTGTTTTTAAAGTTAGGAAGTTGGGATTTTTGATGAGTATTAAGAATGCATATGAATAATTTTGGAGAATATAATTTTCAGAGTATTCTGCAAGGGTATATCAACTTCGGCTCCGCCCGAAGTTAGCTTTCCTTTCTTGTTTATTATACAATAATAAATTAATTGATATACACAAAGGCAAACGATAAATGTTTAGTATAAATTTTGACCTGGTTTGCTTGCTGATTATTTGGGATGTTCATTATTAAAGCAAGTTCTCATCTGAACATATCTATTTTTTTGAAGCGTTAAAGAAAATATTTAGTGGCTAAGACATTATTAAGTGATATTTCTTATTGTAAGTTCAGATAAGTTTTATTTAGATTCCGAACTCTGTGAAATAAGCAATGTGTTTTTCAATAATGAAAACACATCAGTTGGTTTAATCATTGAAATACACATTTTACTCGTATATTTATATATTTTTTACTTTTAACAAACAGACATGTTCTGCTCTTAAAACCACTCACAAGCTTATGTTCTTTTGAGATTTTCTTGTAATGTGGAAGCTGGTGAAGCGAATTTCCCTCAACTTTTTTGGTAATCCCTTGATACGCCCTCCACCTTCCCACTCCCGAAAAGTTCCCAACTGGCGGTACACCTTGAGCAAATAGTGAGGAATAATGATTTCGTACGTTTTATTTGCGCCTTTTTGTGGCTGGCATTAAAATTGAAATTGAAATGCCACAGACGGGCCGCAGCAGTGGGACCCAACTAAAACCCACACCAGCTGCTCTGTCAGCTCCTGATGATGATGACAGCGTGGCCGAAAGGAAGGAAGCGAAAACCACGTACAGTGGGCCCTAGATTTCAGGGCCATCCGACGGGTGCCAATCACATGTCCATTTCGGGCGGCTGCTCCAACCGAGGGCGCACTTTAGACCAAATTCGCAGTGGGAGTTTGGGTGGGCGTGTAAAACAAACGGAATGGCGACAAGCGCATAGTTTCATTATCCTTCGCCAAGCAGACAGCGGAACAGGCACGGAACAGGACCCGTCGCTACACGAGGCGCATTACAAATTTTCGAAATGAAACTGAAATCAAATAAAGGACAGCGCTTCGTACACAAACATCAGACTGACGGCAGGACGAAATCTATATGTACATATATAAAGAAAACCCAACAAAACCAGCAACAATGCCACGCAATTAAAAATGGCCGTGCTGGACCAAAAAAGGAAAACACACGACGGGGGTCGGGAAAATTCGGAAAAAATAAATAAAACAACCGAAAATTGGCAGCAGCAGCAGCAACAACAAAACTGTGGAATGACAAACATGCTGCGAATTTGTAATCTGTAATATGAATTCGAATTTTAAAGATACATTCCCAGGCAGCCGTGGGGAGCTGGAACAATGTGCAGCATGAAGCGGAAACGGATGCAGGTGAATATGATTGCAGTTCGATTTAATTGAGTTACCCTGGAATGCCGGGGAAGTACTGAACAGACACTTTACATACTCACACATGCATGCTTTTCGGAAAAAATGAGGAAAAACAATCAGAAAAAGATTGGCAACAATCCAATCAGCTATACTGTAATTGGCAAAATGCAAAATTGCGAATGAGCGAATACTTTTTGCGGCAAATTGATTGAGAACTCAAAATTGGCGAAATGATAAAATGATGAAATGTAATTCAAATGCGGTTTCAGTTCGATTTGCTTTCGGGGCCTCCAGAAGTAATGTTCGTGAATGGACCAAATTGTGTGAATGATATCCACTGTTCAATCGAGCGTAAAAATGTGTTAAGTTTTATATTTAAGTGCGATAAGCAGACATAATTAATGGGGTGAAATGTTACAAATCTGTTGAGTTCAATGTAGTTTCAATTACATTAATTAAACATTTTATGCATTAAGAGATTTTTCCATTTCCATAAAGGCACTTTACAAATAATTTCGATTATTTTAAATAAACAATTATTTGCAATCACTTTTGAATAATTCTAATAATTTGGTTAATTCGCAAATCGAAATGCAATCGCGTCTTTGACAATACCGTATAATTCATTTCACACATCTAATCGATCACTTTACCAATTATATCATCCTTCGATGCTGCCAACATTTATTTTGCACACTCACATCCAATTTGCCTTTACTTTTGGCCAGTTTTCAAACTTCCTGACTGGCTGACTGATTGCTTTGTCTTATCAATGCCCTCGAACCGAATACAATTCAATTTGTACAACTGCCACACCCACCGGGCAAGTGACGCCCAATTTGTCTTCTTTCCAGTATTTATTCCTTTTTGGCCTTGTTTTACCTCTGTCTGTTTTGCTGGCGCTTCTAATCAGAATTTGTAACCAATTTTCAATGCTCGGTGCGTTTCCTTTGTCGCTTACGCAATCATCCAAAAACCATTTTGTACCAGCTTCGAAAAAAAAGCATTTGACTTTGCGATTGAATCAAACAATCAATTATCTTGTCTTCTTCTGCCTTCCGCCTTTTTTCGTAATATTTTCTTCATCTGGCTCAGCCTGTGTTTTCGTCATTCCTGTCTTTGATGTTATCCACCAGCAGTTGCCATTTTTATTGGCCACATTTTTGTTCAAATGCGCAATGACAAAAAGAACTGACTGCACTTGAAAAGAAGACAAGGAATCGGACTGAAATGCAAATAGCTGGCAAACAAAAGAGTCAGTCCCGCGAATTATAACGAATAACAAATCCTATAGGAATGACAAAATTTAAAAAGTACATTATTGTACTTGAAATTCTCGTAAATTAGGTTTTTAGAAAAATATATTTAGCCCTTAAAGACTTTCAACGCCCCCAAAGAAAAGCATCAGCAACTGAAGAAATATATCTTATCAATGTCTAAAATATACATCTATAATATTTAATATTGAACATATATATAATTTAATTACAATTAAATTTACCTAATATTTATTTAGATTTGGTCAGAATATTTTGTAGTGGATATTATCCACTGGATAATGATAATTGCAATCTTCGAGAAAATATTTAAACAGACATTTATTTTATTAATGCACTATGCCAGAAAAGAAATCTTTCGGCGATTTCCCCGGCAATTTGAGAACCTTCCCGGCCCTTTAGTGGTCGACGCTCTTTTGTCGACCATCTTGCACGTCAACAGGAAGTCAAATACACGCACACGCAGACATGCACACAGAATACAAACATGTCCTCGCAAAATGGCGAGCATAAATTTCCGCTTGCCATCCGCCGTCTGACGTTTTATGAGCAGCGGGGGGGGCAAGGAAAGGCGGCAACTGAGTCAAAGATTGTTTATGGTGGCCAACAGTTGATTCATCGCATTTAATGGATAACGCCGAAGCAGATTCAGCACAAAAAGAATCAAATTCGCGAGCGCAGAGTAAGCATATGCGAGGTCTGCTATTTCGTGCTGAATTTATGAATTTATTTTCAGATGGCGAGAATGCGCAAAGGGTCGTCTAATAAATAGCGCAATAAATTTGCCAAGGGAACACGTCTCTTTGCAGATATACCAGGGCGTAAATTCCTCAACTCCTTCATCAATTATGATTATTTACATGTTGATGTCTTGCTCTTCAGCACGCGCCCCTTTAAAGCCCCCAATTACCAGTGATTGTTTCTCAACTGGTCTGAAATTGCATCGCCTGATCCCCCAATTGTTCGGCCAAATGTCGATGGCTTATCATTTAATGAACTTCCCGCCCAGGAACAACATCAACACAATATGACTATTGTACTTATGGCAATATCCCCCTTTTATTGTCCACTGTGTGTGTATATTCAGGCATTGGCTTTTATTTAACGCGCTAAAGTCGGCGCTTATTTTTATTTAGGTCAACTTTATTATATGCACATAATTACAAAAGCCAACACACTGAGCCTCCGTGTGTGTGCTGGCCGGAGATAAAGCATTTATGAAGACAGACATGTGGGAATTGCGGTGCTGGCAGGGCAAACAAAGTGCCATCGGGGGGACATCCTTCTGCCTTCCGAGTCTCATTTATTTGCGCTGTTCTAATAATAAGAAATAATGTCGTTTCATGTCCTATCCCAGCTTGGCCTATTGTCTATGTCGTCGCTACCACTGCTGCTGCTGCTTCTCCAGTTGCCAGGACCTTAGCTCTAAAGGCCCAAGTAAAATATTTATGCGACAAAAGACAATTTTGGATTTATGCTCCTCTATATATGTACTTCGCTCACAGCCAACCACCAGCACTAAAAGCAGCTGACTTTGGCTTTTTGTTCCTCTAGTATTTTTCCCTTTTTTGGTTGAACAGGAACTGCTCCATAAATAGCACAGGCTTGTCAGGCTCTTTCGTGTGCGAATTTATGTGGCAATGGGCAGGAAATTGTATGGCTAAACATGGCTCGATTGGGGGAACATTATGGCCTGAATCTGGGACAGCAATTTAAAGTGTGCAAACTTTAATTGAAGCTCATGGATGCAAAAGCAGTGCATCCTCTGGCTAAACACATTTTAAAACTGCCAGAGACTAGGTTTCAGTGACTGGATTTTCACAAAGTCGAGGTGGCAATCATACTTTAAAAGCATTACTTGGCTTCCTAAAATATAAACAAAAGGAAATTCTGTTTTAAAAATTTTACTGGCAATGCCAAAAGTGAGAAAATTTTGTTAAAAATTGTACAAAAAAAATTTAGCCCTATTATGTATGATCTCTAATTTGTTGTATTTTTTTGTGGTTTTAAGCCGTATGTCAACTCACATTTATAAAAACGCTTGCGAAATGAAAAATATTTTTGTTCCTCAAATGTTCACTACATATTTAATGCATCCAAAAATCATTGTAGAGATGGACAGAAGGGCTGGGACTGGGATCATCGCTGAGTCTTAGCTCCAGCTCTCATATCCCCGGAACTCGGGCCCTTTGGCACACAGAAGTAAAACAGAAATACAAAATTGAATAGTGAAAGAAAATTAAGAGTGGTACTTTTCTATCAAACAGGAAATGAGGCGGCGCCGATCCGCTTGCCAGGAGATTGACCCTCCACCAACCATTAACAACTCCCTTTTTGTGCCCTGCAAGGAAATGTGGCGGGGCAACATTCAGGATGCCTGGATCCCAATGGAGGAGTCACATTGCCACACCAACAAGGACGAGACCAACTCTCTCGGGGCTGAGGGCCGTGGGCGACCCTTCGACATGGTCAAGGACGACGTGCTGCTCGCTTGGCAGCAGAGTCCTCACAAGGACACGTTGGGCTTCTATGGCGTCGGCTCGCCCAGCCAGCAGCCCGAGTCGGTGGCTTTCAACCAGGTGCTTTCGGACTGCCTGGCCAAGGTCAGCAGTGGCGTCACCCAGCTGCGTCGCCCCAAAAAGGAACCCCCTCCATCTCCCAGGATAACGCCAGCGGGAAATATCATGAATCCTGAGATTTGTAAACCCTTCATCCTCAACCGCCAGGCACTGCAAACGGAGATGGAGCTAATGCCCAATGTGAAACTACAGCTGGATCCCCGAAAAGCTTATGAGTCTATATATTGCAATGATCCACCCGATCCCCATGATCCCCTTGGAGTTAATCGACAGCTGGAGGGAGAGATGGATCCCAAACCGAAAAAGGAACCACATGGGTTGCGACGCCGTCACTGGTACTGTCCCATGGATTGTGGCCAAGCTGGAAATGCGTGCACTCAGTACGAGTGGGCTAAGTACAAGATGGATCCCCGTCCCTATAACAAGGAATTCCGGGAGTGGCTCCAGGGACAGAAGGAGCAGCAGAGCCCAGAGCCCAAGGACTACAATGAGTTGTACGAGAGGTTTCTGAAGTGCTTCGAGCCAAAGCCTTTGCCAGATCCACTTTGCAGGACCTATAATGAATGCTGCAAGCCCAAGAAACCGAAAGAAAATGAAGCCCAAGGAGGTGGCGATGGACATGGAGGTTTTGGTGATGGTCACAGACCCGGAAGACCTTACCCTAATAAAGGTAAACCAACTGGAGTAGATAAGACCGGAACCGGAAATGGAAAGGAAGATAGAGGAAGTGGCGAGGGAGGCGAAGGAGCCGATGGTACCGGCGATGACAAGGATAAAGGAGATGACAAGAATAAAGACGGAGGGGTAGACAAAGAAAGAGATAAGAATAAAGATAAAACGAAAGACAAAGATAAAGATAAGGATACAACTAAAGATCAAAATAAAGATACGGATCAAACTAAAGATAAAAATAAATATACGGATAAAACTAAAGATAAAAATAAAGATAAGAATAAAACTAAAGATAAAAATAAAGATAAGGATAAAACTAAAGATAAAAATAAAGATATTGATGAGGATTCATATAAGGGAACGGATACAAATGAAGATGAAGACAAAGATAAAGATAAACCAAAACCCAAAGGTAAAAATAAAGGCAAAGGTAAAGGCAAAGGTAAAGGCAAAGATAAAGGCAAAGATGAAAGCAAGGATAAAGGTAAACATAAAGACAAAGATATAGGCAAAGATAAAGGCAAAGATAAAGGCAAAGGTAAGGGCAAAGATAAAGGCAAAGATAAAGGCAAAAATAAAGGCAAAGATAAAGGCAAAGATAAAGGTAAAGATAAAGACCAAAATATATACAAGGATATATATGAAGATATCGATAAAGACAAAGGAGAAGGATCGGATAAAAAGAAAAATGAAACACCGGAAGTGCCAAGGGAATCCGACAAAGGAAGTCCTAGTATGAAACCAGATTTTCCTTGGGGCAACGATCCTTGCGGCAACGATCCCCAAATACCCACCAATATAGGATCCACAGAAGACTTTGAAAAGTACAAGCCCGAAGAACCCAAAGATGTATTGAAAGTTCCACCCAAATGCAAGCAAACGGAAAAGAGTAATAAGGACAGGAAGTCCTGCAAGCCTTGTCCACCGCCGGGTTGCCAGTGTGAGATCTGCCACTTCCTGGATCGCAAGGATCCGGAGGCTCCCTTCATGCGGGATATGAGGCGGGCGGATCAGAGGCGCCAGCTCCGCGCCTACTATCGTCAAATGTGCCACCGCGAATACATACGGAATCGATGTCGGGAGGAAGAGTACCGGGCACCCAGGCACAAATGCGATCCCATCTGCTGCGACAACTTCCTGTGCCGCAATCCCCGACTCGCCGAGTACTGTGACTGCCTTGGAGCCGTGCAGGAGCTGCAGAAGCTCCTCTCCGGCGCCAAGGATAACCAGGACTACTCCAAACCACTTCACTGCGTCGAAAATCTGCGCAGGCGCGTCTGCCAGCAGATGTGTGATTGCATTCTGGCATGAATTGGATCGGAGTCTATTTTTGTTTTTAGTTTTAGCTGGTTTTTTTTTTACATTGACAGTAATTATTGTAATATTTTTTATGCGTCAAGAAATTCAGAATTTCTGAATTAGTTAAGGCCTTTTTACACATTATGAATTCTTATTTGAGATTTTAAAATTTAAGATCAGGTCTGAAATCAAAAAATCGGAAAGACAAAATCTTAAATAAGAAATCAAATGTGTAAAGAGGCCTTTAAATATAAGTTATTTTCAACATTATAAAATAAAGCCTTTTCTGTTTTTTTAGTAACTATAAACCTTTTAGGCCAGCCGAGTCATCCTTAATATATATTATCAAAAAAATTGAAGGAATAACATGAGCCCAGGCAATTTTACCACTGAGCCATAATTCTGCAAGTACAATACACTTATTATACAATACACATTATGCCACTCAGCAAACAAATCCTGAGCGGCAAACTCAAGCACAAAAACACAAAATCCCAAGGCAATCCGAGGCTTGGATGAATCTGGCCAAGCCGGGCATTACAGCCACTTTATTTTCAATATCGAATTTCCCAAAATTTTCAACAGCCGCAAACACTTGAACGTTTTCCCAGCGCTCAATTAAAGGCCATTAGGCGGGAGTCAGAGGGAGTGGGAGAGGGGGGGAAAAGTCCACACCCAGCCAGTAAAAACTACCCGAACCCCTTCCCAAATCCATTGCAAAATGTGCGCTATGTATGGCCAAAGGATATACTGGAAACACGCATTGAATTTCGCAGACAAAGGACACAGGCTTTTGGAGAATTCCCCCATATGCGAAAATTCACATGGTGGAAATCTTTTTCCCCTCCAACCCCCTCCCCCCGCTCTAGAGATTTTTGCCCCCAGGCACATTACTAGGCGAAAAATGTTTCGGTCCTCGGGCTGGGGAGTAATTAAAGTTTTGCTCAAGTGTCGATAAATTATGCGGAAGACGCTCTATGCAAATGACTTACAGCAATACGAGCAGCTGCCAAGCGGAGCTTGACGAACTGACAAGTTGACAGAATGCTGGACGGACAAATGGACGGGAGGATGGAAGGACAGAAGGACGGAAGGACGGATGGAAGGTCGGACGGACGGGCAGTTGGGCATTCTTTCAGCCTTCGAATGACAGGCACTTCATCATCGTGTCCTTCGGCGAGTGTGTAATTCATCACGCGAACAACCGCAGCTTCCCGCCCCATCCGCAAAAGTGACATGACATGTTGAGCCTGCAGTTTCGCCCAAATGGTGTGGGGAGGGGGGGGGGGGTTATACGTTTCCAGTAATTTCCCATCTCTTGGAGGCGGAGGAAGGGGGGGACAGAAGGCTTTAAGTTCGGTGAGCCGCTTTTCGTGATGAGGCAAAAGGAATGCTATTAAGCAAGTTGACATTAATCGTTCTGACTTCCAGCGAGGTAAAGTCAAGAGGGGAGGGGTTGGACCTCATGTGTCCTGGTGCTAATGAAGCTCTGGCAGTCACTCGGCTGCCTGTAATGGGAAAACAATTAAGTATGTAAAATGCAAATGACGAGCCCTAAAAATCTTGTCAAAATGTTCGTCATGCATATTGATAAGTTTAAGGAGTATAAGTGAGAAGGGGGTATTACATGTGCTGTGCAATTAGTTCATCCTTCTTTGGCTGTCGTCAGTGAATAAATATGAGCTTCAAGATTGGCAAAGATTTCCCTATATCACACACATGTTTTGAGTTTGCTAATATAACCTAACCATATGGTTTTTAAGGATTTTTGGATTTATGGAAATTAGTTTTTCTATTCTATGCCTGAGCAATAATTGTCTACATAAATTACTTATAATTTACGGGGCTTACTACCTGTAATTATACTATTTACGGCGCCAAAAGTACTACTTTAAACACAATTCTTAACAACACACACACATGAGCAAAATAATAGAAATTTATTCCATTTAATTATGAGCATTTTAAGCCGACTTTCTTGATTTCAACACGAGTGTAGCCTCACATTCCAAAAGCTTAGAATCTATTCAAGTGTGGTATTAATTCTCGAATCCAACAAACCATCCTCAATAATGTGCAAATAAACATGCATTTACCTATCTCTCAGTCCTCTTGAATGTGAGTCGCTTTTATGAATTTAATTTGGTGCCATGCTGGCCCGAACAAAAGCCTAATTAGCCCCACGAAGCTCCTCCACAATCAGTAGTTATATGCTTAAATCCTAATTTATGTTGACAATGGGAAATTGTGTTGGTGCAGCCTGAATGATAAAACGCAATGCGAAATGGTTAGAGATATCCAATAAACAGGATTACGCATACGTCACGTGGCCACCCCCATATTTCCGCTTAAGCCTCCTGTCTGCTTAAACTACTGAAAATTTTCGAATGCACTATATATGTGTTTATGTTTGCTTAATTAATGAACACTAATTCGGTTGTTTACTTGCCCTCAGCCCTTAACCCTGGCTTCTCCGCCCACCTTACTTAACCAATTTCCTGTTGCTCGAGCCCAGGAGCAAATTTCAGTTAGTTGGTATAGATGCTGGGATCTATTGCATGTATTGTTTGCGGCAAGCTGCACATTAATGTTAATGCAATTATAATATTCAAACCTTGTTTATTTGTGTGCTGATAATTCAAGGGTTTTGATTTAAGCTTACCGAGTAATTGCCGTAGGATGCTTGATCCTGACAAAAACCAAATGCAAAGCTGAAGCATTAGAAACGAGTACAATATTTATTAAGTGCGTTAATAGTGGTCTAATAACGCTTCAAAACTGTAGTTTAAATCTTTTAGGGTATTAAAACTGAGCTGGTAATTACTCAGAAAGAAAACTGTAATTAAAGCACACTGCAAATAAAACTATTTATTTTTATTTCTTAAGAAATTCTCTGTGTTTTCTTATACAACCCTTTGTAAAGCGATTCTTTCCGGGTAATATTTCAAACATTAAGTAATTTGTGCTTTGCTTTCATGGCGGTTCCAACTTCAGTTACCAATGAGCAGTGAAGTTTAATTTTAAGCCCACAATAAAACCGAAAATTGCTTACAACTAATTTTGTTTTATTGAAATTGGGTTTTCCCCCGAGTTTTCTTACAAAACTTTTCCCGCAGTTCACTCTCTTAAATAGCGCTAATAATAAGAATGAAGTTGAAGTGCCTTTACGAGCGCTTTCAACGTATGATGATGGCGATTAGCATTAAATTGGGCCCAGACCCGCACATAAAACCATTTTATATCCTCGCATAAACAGGTGAGGGGCCCAAGAAAAGGGGGAGGGAAGGAACTGGAACAGTTGACATTCCCTACCACCGAACCTCCCCCAACAAGGTGCCCAATTTCCCGCAAATGTTTCGGCTTTTTATTGGACGCGTGTCCCATCATCCCAGTGCTGCTCTTTAGACGCCGCAGTTGACTCTTCAAAATGGCCAGAACATAAAAATTGTATTAAGCCATAAAGTGGAGCGTTGAGTGAAGGAATAAAAGCAGCTAAAATATACACAAGACGATTTTATATGCGGCTGGCAGACAATTGAATTGACTTCTTGTACTTTTCTCAAAGGCGTGTCTTGATTCATCTATTAAACTCCATTGTTCTGGCAGTCAAAACTTCATTGGATCTGAATTCGTGTTTTCGCCATTTCTACTTGCCAAGTCCTTCTGCTAGCGTGAACGCAAAAAATGAAATCTTCTATTTGAATTTTTTCGATTTTCATTTCATATTTCCTTTCATGTCCATTAGTAAATCTTTAAGGGTATATGCGCATATCCTCTTTATCCCACCTATTTACCATTAGTCAAAGTAAAATGAGTTTGGGTTGAAGGTTAAACCATTTATTTTTTATTACTTTTTAGGGTTCAACATTAAATTATTTTGTTCCTGTACAGGACGCATATAAATAAACAATAAATTTATAAAAAGGAATTTAATTATTTAACAAGTAATTTCGTCAAAATATATACATTTTAAGCTGCATACAAGATTGATTCTGATTTAATTTTGCCTTGCTAAAAAGAAAATGCTACAGGGTATTTTAAAGTTGCATTTCCATGTCCTCATTCTTTTTTTTACTGATGTTTGTCATTTGTGAGTTGTGTGATGTTTGTGTGAGGGGTGGTTGGACCACTCGAATCCGGATTCCACCCGACACTGAGTTCGCAGTCTAAAGTCAAGTGCGTCTGTTCCATGCTCCTGCACTTGCCCCAAATATGATTTCAATATTTTTTCTGCTAAGAACATTTCAATTTATGTTCTTTCGTTTCTGGTTTTGGGTCTTGCTCCAGTATGCGAGTGGTTGTTCCCTCTCCAGAGTCCTCCGGCTTAGTACAAACATAAATCGCAGAGCATATTACACAACGCTAGATGCGTGCCCAGCTTGTATGGGTAGGAAAAAAGAGGTCCTGCTGGCTGCATCTCCTTGTTCCTGGCAGTGTTTGCATTGCAAATGGCTGCAAACGATGGTGGGGCAGCGGATTGAGTAAGCATAGTTTGGGTTACGGGAACAAAGAGCAAACTTTTTACGCTACGATTGTCCTGTTGCTGCTCTAGAGGGGATCGACAGGAAGGGAAAGGGGACTGCCCCCTAACGAAGGAACCAGCTTAAGCTTCTGTGGGTAGAGATGAGGGCTTTGGAGGCCCCAGGAACCCAGCACGCTCCGATTAGGGCCACACAACGTGGGAAACTGTTGAACTATCAATATTAAAAAGGGGAGCGTGCAAAGGGATTTTTAAAATATTCATTCGCCCTTGATTAATCTTGTTCTGCAATCAATCACTGCTTTGGAAAGGGTCGAAGTTCAGTATTTCTTCTAGGTAAATTTAGCGTTATTGAAGGAAGTGTTACAAGTGCTTCACTTGTATTAAATATTTAATGTTTTCTCGAAAATTATAGTTTGCAAATGTGAAATAAAATTTGCATGCTTTTAATTTCCTTTAAGTTAACAAAAGACTTAACGATTTCGACAAATTCCGAATTTATCCAATCACTGAAATAAGTACATTAAGTTAAAACAATTATTTAATAAAAAGGT